AAAAAAAAAAAAAAAAAAAAAAAAACGGGCAAGCACTGCCAACCCAGCTTTCCCCAGGAGTCTCAGTTCTGCTTCAGACAGCCTGGGCTCTCAGGACCAGCCCCACACACCCAGGGACAGTGCTCCAGGCCCAGGTCTGCAGTCCCCACACTGAGGCCACAGCCCTGGAGTACACAGTGCACAGAGCCAGGGACTCCGGGTAGTAGTTTTCTGCATTTTGAGTCCAGGGCGGGTTACCCTTGACATTCCCATGCCCGTGTGGATAGGAAGCCACTGAGCCCTGGGCCCTGGCGAACCAAAGGCTGCCTAGGGACCAGAGATCTGGCGCAGTCTGCCCTGGCGTCATCCTTCCTCTGGGTGTAGGAGGCCACAGGCCAGGTCTTACATTGTCACACAGCCAGGAAGACGGTCTGGGTCGCCTGCACAATCCTATCTTTGATATGCAAAGCAATCAACCTGAAGAAAACAGCCAACCCAGGAGGGAAAAAAAGAGAGAGAGACCAGTAGGGAGCCCTGTGCAAGGCTAATCCTAAAGGAATAGCTGACCCTGAAGGCCACATCATGACCCCAGTTGCTGTGAACACCAGGGTGAAATTAGGCATTATCCGGAAGGACTGCACATCTGTTCGCCTGGGGTGACCTAGTTCCAGGACTGATGGGGCTGCAGACTTCGGGGTACAGGCCAGCGAGGCGGCACACAGATGGGCAGGGGAGCGGGTGCTCCTCACACGCGTATGGGCCCCATCCAAGGCTTAGCTGTAGCTCTATTTTTTTTAAATGAAGAGATATTTTATTTCCTTTTTTTTCAAATAAGTTTATTTATTTATTTATTTTTAATTTTAGCAGAGAGGGACAGAGTGATAGAGAAGAAATGAGAAAGTAAGCCGCCAGGTCTGAGACTTGAACCACAGTAGGCCATGTGGGAGTTCAGCGCCCTTAACCACCATGCCACCTGCCAGCCCTAAGATATTTTATTTCTATCCGTAGGAACTGAACAGGTGGCTACAGTGGAAAATGGCGAACATGTGAAGTTAGGGAGAGCCCAGTCAGCGGCGGCAGGGAGTTTGGGATTAAATGGCAATATGCTGAACAAATAAGCTATAGGCTGTTTGAAACCTGAAAATGCCCTTTTCCACGTCCTCCACGATTTCGATTCCATTTGTAAGCATGTTGTTCTTTCCTTTTAATGCTTTAACAAGTGATTTCCCTCCTATAGAAATCCTTATGAACCCAGAGACACTTCTCTCTGGAACTTTCCTCTACTCCCAGAACCAGCCCCAGTGGGTTCACCCTTGCAGACTCTGTGGCTAAGACAGGAAGTAAGATCTGAACTCCTGTTTAGAAACTGTGTTGCCCTGACAACAGCTGGTGAGAGCCCAGGGAAAGGGGAGGACACGCCCCTTCTTAACCCTTTATAATCCCGGGTGCTAGGGGCAGGAGCTCAGGGTGCCATGGAGCTGCTCTCTGGCCCTGTGCTGCTGGGGATGCTGCTGCTGCTTCAGGCACAGGTGAGCACAGGCTGCCCGGGGAGGGATAGAGGGTGGCGGAGCGGGGAGAAGGCTGTGGGACTGGGAAGGACAGTCAGATGAGGGGAGACCCTGAGAAGCAGGAAGTAGGCTGAGCCCGGTGCGCCTGCGCGGACTGAGGCGGGTGCAGGCTGCAGGACCACCTCGGAAAGACTGGAAGTTGAGATGTGGAGTGCAAAGGAAATCCGACAACGTTCTGCACCCAGCACCCCCACACCCCTTCCCGAAATGGTGGCGGGGTGTTGTCCACCCACGTCCACGCTGGGGAAAGCGCCTGACATAGTCACCTGGGGCCCCCCTCACCAGTCCCGGATCTCCGGAGGAAGTCTTCATGGTGAACGCCCAGGACTCAGCCAATTGGCTGGCGGGGGTGGGGGGGTGCTGCAGCCCCTGGGCCCCCTGGGTTCCTGCGTCATACTTTGGTACATGAGCCAAGAAACATCTAGACTCCCCTTCTTCACACGAGAATGCTGAGTAATGCAGACTTTCTATCCTTTTTTTCTTGGACACTCTCATCCCTAGAAACTAGCTCTATCAGGTGAAATTACTGGGCATCAGACCGTCACCTAAATACCGTTAGGGTGACTGCCAGTCTGCAAGACTCTAAGGTGAGGCTGGCGGGGAAACACTTGGTCAGTCCCTCAGCATCATTAAAATGTTGAGAATGTTGGCTTTTTGTGACTCGGTTTCCATTTCTGGAATCTTAACCATCGCAGGGAAGGTTCCTGGGGCAATTGATGCTGCATGCCAGGGTGACTCTCTGGTGCAACCTGAAGGCCCTGAGAGTTTGAAGCCATTCCCTGTAGCCCAGCTGGGAGACGGGGCAGATTCCTTTCTTGCCTTTCCTCAAGACTTTTTCTATTCTCTGCTAGCAAATGAGTGACACACACCCAGGGACGGCCACGATAGAGTAAAGGAAGTTAGGCTGCTCTTTGTCTGCCCTGCCGCTGGCCTACAGGGTCCTGGGACCAGGGACTCCAACCGTCGCGGGCGAGAAACTGAGTGTCTCTGAGCAATTGAAGGCATCTGCCCAGGGCCACTCTCTGGAAGGCTGGAAGGCTCTGAGGTTGCAAGTTCTTCCCCGCTGCTCTGAGTGTCAGGAGTTCCCCTGCTCTCTCACCCTAGAGCCCACAATCTTTCTCCTCCTTCATACAATCTAGTCAAAAATGAGCAGGAGATTCTCTTTCTCCAAGGGCTCTAAAATTTCTGCTGAATAACCCTCCTTTATTCCCCTCATACTAACCAACCAGTACTCAAAGAAAAAAAAATGAAGAAGAAGAAAATAAGCCTTAAATTAAATAATTAGGGGTCTCAGCAGGCGGCGTGGTGGTTAAGAGGGCTGGACTCCCACGGGCTCAACCACAGTTTGAGTCCCAGACCTGGTGGTTTGCTTTCTCACTTTCCCTCTCCCTCTCCTCTGTCCCTCTCTGGTCAAATTAAAATAAATAAATAAATAAAATTGGATAAAAGAACTCCTTTAAAAATGATAATTAAGGTAGTTAGGATTCCTCCACTCTGCATGCATATGGTATAAATTAGACGACCTTGTTGAGAGAATCACATAATATTGCCCTTGCCAGGCCGGTTTTTCTCATCATTCCTCTGATAGAAATAAAAATGAGCTTACTGGCCCTTTGAGGACACCTGCTTAACCATCTTTTTCCTTGGTCCCCACACCACAGGGTTCTGTTTCACCTATTAAGTCTCTAGATTTTGACACAGTGAGGGGGGGGGAATTGAGAAAGCAAGCCTCCAGGTCTGGGACTCCAACTGTGGTCGGCCATGTTGGAATCCAGTGTTCTTAACCACCACACCACCTGCCGGCCCCATCCTACTTTCAAAGACAATACCAATGCTGACATACAAACATAGCTCACAAAATTAGTCCCTCTCAATATGACGTTAAGTCCCAGAGTCAGAAGAGGTTCTGTGACCAGCAGTTGACAGAACGGTTATGTTGCTGGACTCCCATGTAGTCGACCACGGTTCAATTCCCGGATCTGGTGACTTAAATTCAAGCCGGGCCCAAGATCCCAAAAGGAGAATGGAGGAGAAGGGATGTGGCCATCCCCCCTGGGGGGTGATTTCTCGCTTTCTGTCTCTCTGTCTCTCTCTGGCTGGCTGGCAAGCACACGCGGCCTATAGCAAAAACTTCTCAAAAAAAAAAAAGAAAAAGGAAGAAAAGAAGAGGTCCAACATGCAGAGCACCGAGCCTAGTGCATGTAATTCCTATGATTTAGCATATGGGCTCACAGGG